AAGCCCAAAATAGGAGGGGCAGAGTACACTGACACTTTATTTCTTTCAGTACCATTATCACCACCATGCACCTGATCCACCTCGCTAAAATCAATCATATCCATAAAATCTGTCTCTACTTCACCTCCCACATCAGTGCCATTTGTATTATTCCAAGTTACTTCATTGCTTTCAACAATGGCAACTAAAGAACGACCCATCCGACTACTATCTGTCGTGATATGCATACTATCAACTACATCATTTGTCAGTCCTTTATCTTCTATTCTCACAAGTAAGGGAGCTAGTTTTGAAGGTGTTACCTCAGAATTGTACTTCATAAAAAATTTGACATCATCATCGTCCTCAATCTTTATGTTCTTCGACTCATTCGAGGCCACCAAAATTGAGAATTTTAAGCTAACCTTGTCTTCCCTGCTGTTTGTATTACCAATCTGATGCACACGGTCTAACAGTTCAGCAAATTTGATGGTCCATGGAACTATTAAGCCTTTTGACTCACCCCCTTCGTATTTGCACATCTTCTTCGAGGTGACCCATTTTCCATTGTAGCACACGAGAATAACAATTGTCTCCATTTCTAACCATAACAAAACAACATTTCATTAACACAATATAACCACAATAACCATACAATACAATAGTAATATAACCACAATATAAAAGCAATATAATAGCAATATAACATCAACATAACAGCAATACGACAGTAAAATAAGAGGAACACAACAGCAGTACACCAGTAATATATCAGCAATCACACTATACAAATCTACTACATCAAATGGAAAATCCCAAGTTTCAAGATTCAAATATCCAGACCAATCTAAGTGCAATTGGTACAAACCCAGATGACTGAGCATGAATATTCAACAAAACCTAAGCCAAAGCAATTAAAGCCAAAACGAATTTAACACAAACCCAAACAATCAAAATATAACCCATTTCACATAATCCCACTGATTTTAAGAAAATAACCATCAACACTACCTTTTCGAGGTCGGTGATCCACTAAAGCTTCAAGGTTGCAAGCAGCTATTCAGAAGACGTACCTAAAGGGAGGGGTTCGCGATTCCAAACAGAGAGCAAGGGACCGAACAGAGGGAGAAAAAGACATAACGAAGCTAGAGAGAGAAAGAGCTGCGCTATGAGAAAGAGAGCAAAGAGAGAGACAGAGAGTTGCGCTAGAGAGAGAGAGCCAAGAGAGACACAGAGAGCTGCGTTAGACAGAAACCAAAGAGAAAGTGAGCTGTGCCAGAGAAAGAGAGAGAGCTGAGTGACCTAAGAGAGAATAAACTTTCTGAACTTGTGAAAATTCAGCAATAAGTGGACAATAATTTTATATTTATAGGTGATAGTTGTACAAAAATTGGGGAGGGGTGGTATTTTTAGTTAAGATTATAAAATTGGTGGCATATAGGGTTATTTCCCAATATTTTTTCCTTTACTTTTTTCTTTAATTGTGGTTTGTCCAGGAACCGCAAATGCAAAGTGCTAACAAAGGTAACATCATGATTTCGAATAGAGAGAAGAGCATAAAAGGTTTTGCTGAGTGATCAAATCTGATACCAACCTTTTTCACTCATTCATTCTACTAAGATAGCTCGATTGGTCAATATATATTGCATCAATGTATTCTTCATTGACGCTAAAAAGGTCTGTTGCTTTCTTTCATTTGTTGATGGTCTTCTCTTCAGTCTTCTACGCAAAAACAGAGACATAGCCTTCTTCACTGAGGTATATATCTTATTACTTGATTCATGGTTGTGGGGTTTTTATGTTGTTACTGTTATCTCAATAGCCTTATTGTTGCGTTAGTAGCAAGACAGGTGTTTGATGAAATGTCTGAGAAAGGCATGAAATTGTGAGGGAAATAGGAATTAAGAAAGGATGAGGGTGTATGGGGTCCTATGCTTAATTCATGTAAAACTAAGTTGTCCATGGTTTGCTATGAAAAAGTTCAAAACATAATAGAAAGAAACAATCCACTACATCAAACTTCAGGGAAAACTAAAAGACCCCTATCTGACACTAGCATCATACAAAGGGTTTTTAATTATTAGGCACTAAAGACTTCCAAACTAAAACATTGAAGATGGCAGGTATTTCTCTAGATACTTGAACAGATCACTACCAAATCAAATGGCTACTTCCTTGATGCTCTTGATAATAGACGAAACAGCATCCTCTGCATCCAAATTAGCTGTGGGCTGCCCTTCATTTTCAGCATTATTTGCAAGCAGGAATGCTTTCTCACGAGCCATTTCTTCTTTTTCAACGTCCTCATTGGAAGTCTCTCCATCAGAATTTGAAGATGATGCTTCTGTCCCTGCTAGATCTTTTAGATTCCAGGTGAATTGTGAATGAATCATGGGGCTGTCCGAGTTCATCCATCTAGATGCAGAGTCTGAACTTATCATCAAATTAGTTTGAGCTTCTATCCTACAGTGATCTGCCATATGAGCATCCAGGTTTTCGGAGAATGCAAATTCACAGGGGCACTTAGGACATTTGTAGGGAGTATGTTTGCTCCTATGTAAGGGCCTTCTTGTGCTTACACCATTGGTTAGGCTTGGATCGGAACCCACATTGTTCTGCAGCTGAGCAGCTAAGGAATTGACAATAGGATTGCTAGGTTGGTAGCTTCCTAACTCAGACAAATTGGTTCTCTCCACATAAAGATCAGGTTCATTCCAAGAGAAATAGGAGAAGTTCCTTCCAGGAAAAGATAGACTTACAGGTGTATGAGGAAAATCATTATTTCCTGTAAGTTCAATCGTACTGAGCCTCGTAGGATCTTTGAGTTGATTATGAGATGAGGTATCATAACAAAGGTTATGAGAAACCTCAAAAGCTGCTAAGGAACAAAGCCATTGATCTTTGTTAAACATATTCTGGTGGACCTTGCTTTCCTAAAAAAAGGTTCAATTGGTTTTGCAGAGGTTTTTGTTCAATCATACAAAAAGAGTCAATGATTGATATATAAGTTGAAAAGTAAATTCCCTCAAAAAGGGTGATTCAATTGAAATTACCTGAAGAGAAAGACGGCTGCATAAACCAAAGAAGGCTATTCTCGTTACTTTGAAAGCAAACAGTTTGTGACAGGTCTGCAATAAATTTATCTCTTCTGTACGCGGCAACAAATTTACTCAGACTAAGTTGGCTCATGCCTAGCGTAAGTTGATTTCGAGAGGGTGAATTGACATTGGAGCATGAAGATCGAGAAGTAGTCACTATAGTAGCAAATTGTTCGTTGTTGAAAACGTAGTTTCTTTCTCCAGAGTTTTGTAGAGGAATCTCATTGTCGTTAATTTCGAAGTGCAAACCGAGGGGAATTGAAGCATAAACTGGTTTTTCCATGAAGAGAGAGGAGGAGAAAGTAATTGCTACAATGTAATTGGTCTGGAAGATGAATGAATAACAGGCGAAGCAATTGTTTCATTGGAGCTCTTTAGATTGAGTTCAAATAGCTAGGTCCAAATTTTTAAATGGAAAGTTATCTTGAGGAAATATAAGGAATTCAGCATGACAACGCAATGACTTGCTATAGCTTTTCTCTACAAGGAAATTTATTTAGTCTCCACAGGTATGGGAAGAAATGTTTTGAAATGAGAAATATTTTTTAAGATCTAGGGTGTCACAGCCTAAAAATTTGTTAGTTGTGTGCATTCCAGAAAAATCCTATCTGGTTACTCATTAAAATTAGGAAGATTTATTTTTGTCCAAGTCCAATGTTATGGAATTCATGAACTTGCCGAGGTTAAACTTTTCAAGTGTACTAAAGTTTGGAACCGTTACAGTCTACAGATTCCATGTGTGCAGAAGTGTAATTGGAAGGTTGAAATAAAAGATTGTCATCAGTTGAATATGATAATGAAATTCTAGAGTTTCACTACTTATCTCAACTACTTCAATGTCAAAAGTTCCAAAGAAAATGATATTAATTAGATAAACATGCTGTTAACATAAAGAACATGAACTAAATTAAAATAAACTCACAACTTACTGAAAATTAAATTGATGGAATCGAACACTTTGAAAGGAAATACAGCTTAATGTGAAGGCTTATACTAGAACTTAAACTAAGGACTAAAGTGGAGCTACTCCTAGGATAATTTGGCTTGAAATTTCGTTTTTTTTTTTCTGATTCCACCTGAGTCCTGCAATCTTAGGGATTGGACCTGATGATCCTTGCAATTGGCATTGGTTCTCCTTGATTACGTCATTAGTAAAATTGTTACCCCAAACCACCTCAATCCTTTAAATCGCCGTTGTGAGGCCTAATTCATGCTTACTTCTATGTTGAGATTTTCCATGCTCACTTCCAGCTAATCTTCTAGATTGCATGTTTTCCTTCCAATGCTAAATTTGAATTCGAATCTGGATGTATACTCTGTGGTTAGACCGAAGGCAGCTCATCGTCATGGTCTTGGAATCATGTTGCTTCTGGATTGTCTTTAAGGGTTGTGGTCGGGGTGGTCGAAGTAGTCACTTCTGGGTTCAAAGAAATCGCCCTAATCCTTGTGGCTGGAATTTATTTTGCCTGAATCAGCATTCGGCCTGCGCTAGAATCAGCCTTAAATCATCTCTTGGTTAGGCCACATAATGTTGACGGATATATTTAGTTCCATTATCCCAGTTCTCATCCGAGACTCATTTTGGATGCTAGATCCCAAGATATGGGTATTAAGAAGCTGAAAAGTGAAATGGGAGAGGTTCCTACTTTAGTGGTTTTGGGGTTTGCTTCACGGCTCCAGTTAGTGTTGGGACATATATAAGGCTATTAAGAAGCTGAAAACTGAAATGGGTTCAGTTATAGCAGTTTCTTTGATAATGCAAGCTCAAGGCACATGCCATCCTCTGTGATACTTGTTGAAAGCCTCTCTCATGAATTCTGAACGGCGTAACATCCTTCAGCCAGTGCCGAAAGAGCTATTATGCAGGATTTGGTTGTGACTTGAACCAGGTTTATAGGGAACTTAACAGATTGGCTACCCGATTTTGGGTAGCACTCCCTCATGCTGTGAGCAGTTGCTAATAGATGATTTGGTTCTTCTGTTTATACACCTCATTTTGCTCATTTTATAGGCCTCCTTTAGTTCTGGTCTAGTTTTTCCTTGTTTAGGATATGTACCATAACAAAAACAAAAAATTACCAATTATTAATGAGTGAATAATACACGATTAGTAGGGGGAAAAAATAATGTAGGTCTTGATTGTGGAGATAAACCTAATGATTATTTGGAAAGCCATAGTGAAACTCACCTCATAATTTTACTATAGTTCCCTTGGAAAACATTTTCGCTTTTGATTTTCATTTAAGTGTTAATTTAATGTGTTCAACAATAGGATCATTAAGATAGTTCTGCAGTCTACTTCATGTTTGGGAGGACATGAAAACTACAAATTATAACAGTTGTGAGCAACCTAACACAAGTAGCTGCTTCAATAAAGACAGGAGGTAAAAAAAAAATTATTAAAAAAAAAAGAAGTTTGCACAAATTAATTGAGATATTAATTCCTGTAAAACAATTACAAGTAAACATTATATAAACCACAATAATAATTTTTTCCATCCCTTTTGGCAGTTCTACTATCAATTTAGAAGCTAAAATTAGCACAACTTTTATAGATATGGCAATCTCTGGTTCACTTGGCATACCTTGCCTTATAACCCATGCAAAGTAAGAGCCTTGGCCTGAAATGCACAAATGTCATCTTGGTGAGTTGATCAGATACCCTTTTCTCCCCACTGCAGTGGGCTGATCCCCCAGACTTAGAGATTAATCTCCTTAGAAATGTTGGCTTTCTGCTCAATATTGCTGAACCTTGATCTCTTTGCTTCTTCTTGTCATCATCTACTTTCCCGAAAGAAGCACTCAGTGAAAGCCCTTTGATTTTCTGCCCCTTGGTTTCCTTTGTACAAGGAGCACTTATGTACCTTTGATCTCCACTTCCTTGAACAATCTTATTCTTAGGTGTCTCTTCTACTGTGCAGACAGGTATTGCCATATTGGGGTCACTAAATCTCTCATTATGACCCTTTTGGATAAGTCTAACTTGTCTTGCATACTCTAGTCCTTTGGGAAGAGCCAGCCTTTTTCGACTTTGCCCGACTTGTTTCCTTGGTTCCAGCTGACCTGCAGAGTTTGCAGAAGGTGAGTGAATTGGTGTTACCAGGCCAGTTTGCTTGTTCTGTTGGTCATTCAAGCCCACCATGTTATGATCGTGTGTCTTTTCTTTCCCTCTCTTTTTCTCCTCCCTGACATGCTCCAATGCCACCATGAATGGATCAAAATCATCATTCCACAACCTCCTGTACGAAAATGGCAAATTCAGAACAAAACTGGGAGACCTTGGGGAAGATGGCATGGGGCTCTGGCTGCCACTCCTTTTATGATGAAGACGTGGTGGAAGTTTGAGTGCTGGAGGTGCAAGTGGCATCACTTTTCCATCACAAAAAAGCTCATCAGCAAATGACATGGTCATCGGAAGGGAGTCCCCGCACTGCCTTTGTTGCCTAATTTGTTCTTGCTGTTTCCGGTCCAACGAAGCCTTCTGCTGACTTTTCACGTTATCAAACACATCGAGACTGAAACTGCGACTGGTTTCGAATTCAAAGTCATCGAGATCGGAATTGGCATCTTGATAGGGTGTCATTGGTGGTGTCATGTACTCATGATCACTGTAACATGCATCATATGGAGTGTTTGATATTGTTCTTTTCCTAGGACTGGCAGGGACACTACAGAAGAACAAATTATTTCCTGGGCTGCATTGAGCAGGGCTAGTTGGGGCACTCACATAGGAGGAAAAATCATCTGGGATTTCCATGAGAGGTTGAAAATGAAAGATATATTTGAGATTTCAGAGTGAGAAACGTAAAGAGATAGGCAACAGCTGCTTCTGATCAATAGGATGGTTAGTTTTAGGAGGGTAGATTGAGTGTTGAGCTTCTCACTCCTGAATTGAAGGAGAGCCTCACTGACTCATTCATTTATATCAAGCATTATTTCCCATCTTCCAAACTAATCTTCCAAGATTCTTTTTTTTATTTTTTTTGCCAGGAATCTTCAGAGATTTTAAAAACCTAAATAATCTCCCTTTCAACACACTCAATTCACTTCTGGGGTCAAAAATGTGTCTTTCAAGGGTTGTTCTATATGTGGCTTTTTGTGAGAATTTTGTGCATAATTTTGTTGTCATGCTGATACTCTTGTCTTTTGTATTTGGTTTTCATGCCAATTGCTATTTCTCCAAGACACCCCTGATCATCATCTAATTACCTCGGTTTTTGTTTTTTCTTCACTAATATTTAGTAGTTATTATAAGATACAAAACAATCACAAAAAAGCATCAAAGCACCACAACTTCTAGACAAAGATTTCACTTATAAGTCAAGTCACGTACTAGATTGTGCTTGAAATGAATTCTTAATGGTGAAGATAAATTATAGTTATCAACTTAAAAATAATATACCTTAAACCCAAATGGAAAGCCTTTTTTTTTTTTGGTCAGAATGGAAAGCTTAATTAGACTTAGGTTATTTAAACATTCCTGCAGCTTTCTCTAAGATTATGGGTGTTATTTTCTTTTCTGTTTTGTTTTAAGATTATGGGTTATTTGAACATGATATAAAAGCTAGGATTATGGATTATTTGAGCATTCCTCAGAATGAGTATTATCTTGTTTTTAGTGTGAGTAGAGGGTCTGCTTTTTAAATTGTTCTCATCTATGGCCCAAAAATAAAATATGAAAGGTGGGGCAACCATGGCTTTCAATGTGAGACACCGAAATAGAGGGCTGAAAGAAAGGAATTGCTCTTGGCATTGGTTTCCTCACTCACATACAAATCATGGCAGATCCAGAAATTTTCTTTTTCGGGGGCAAAAAAACATTACTGCAAAGCAACTAATAATGAAGATCGGTCGACTCTTAAATGTAAACTTGCCCCATTAAATGCAAAACTTCATAAATAAAAATTGGCAGCTACTGAACCCTTAAGAGAACCGCCAGTCCAAGACAGAAAAATGAAGCTTTGAATCTTCAACTGTTTATTGAGGGTGGGCTGTCAAATGTTGATGAATAATCTTAGACAAAATATGTAACTTCTGTCAATGAATTGTTCAAAATTAAGAAAAAAAAAATTATACTTCAAAATGTGGCGTTTGCACAGATGATTTCCATGCCAGAAGGATGGAATGACCTTAATTATTTCCTAAAAAGGTTCCATTCTTTTGTGCTTCCTCCAAAAATATTATGTAGATGATCAAAAATTATAAAATGAAAACAATTTCATTGATGCGGAGCTATTGGTGTTTATAATGTCATGCTCATATGATAATTTGGTACTCTCTAATAAATAACAAATTGGTACTCTTAAAAGTACTTTTTATTATCAAGCACTCAATTCTTACGGGGTCTTCTTTCCCCTTCTTTCCAGAAACTTCTTCTTCCTCTCCTTCCAAGCAGAACCTTTGCCCTCCTATTGTCTGTATTTTTGAAATTTATGAGTTTGGTGGTTGCTTTTCTTAGATCTCTTTTATGTGGAGGTGGAGTTTATGAATATGGTGGGATCTACTATCCTCTGGTGTTGTGGGATAATGAGGGATGCTAGAGATACTGTGATTTTCTCTAAAATGTCAAGCTGAAATTTGAGTGGTAATGCTCTTTCACTTTCTGGTGTTTCCAGTCCCAAAGAAGTTTCAGAGGTGGTTTTCTATGGGAGCATATATTTTGGCTTCCAATCACAAGTTGTCACTTGGACAAGAAGAATATCACCTAGGTCCTTAATTAAGCTCATTTATTTGGCTAATTAATTGAGGCCAAAAATAGGGATATTATCTTCTCTATGGGATACTATCTTTATTTGAGAATATAATCACTAATTAAAGATAATATCACCAATTTGGGATATTATCTTATTTTGGGGATATTATCATCAATTAGGGATTTAATCCTAATCAAAATCCCTAATTGACTCAATTTCTCCATTTAAGGGAAAGAATATCTTCCGTCCAAATAGGAATTATTCTTTCAAAAACCCTAGATGACTAGAGCCCTATAAATACATAGCCACATTCAACACATGAGGTAATTCCAAAATGCTACAAAAAACCCTTAACACTCTCTCTAGTCGTCGGCCACCCCCTAGCCGCATGCCACTCCCTCCCTCTTCTCTCCCACATAGCTAAGTGCCACCACACCCGGCTCTCCCCGTGAGAGAAAACTTCATCCTTTATAGCTATTGCCGCATTTTTTCTCAAAGATGCAATTGAACAAACTTAGGCATCGGAGGGCCTTTGGCCAACACCTCTCAAGTGTGGTCTTTTACTCATATTTATTTCGCACGAACCGGGGAAGAGAGAGAAGGAAGCTCAAAGGGTGAAGGATCTACACACGAATATTCTCCCATGAGAAATTTGCACAAACATTTTGGTGCTTTCATTGAGAGTGCGAGTTATACTCAACGCGTGCTCTTGAATTAAAGGAATATGTTTCCTTCTTTTCAATAGCTCAACCGAAGTCTTCCAAACAACCATGGTTGGAAGCAAGTGCACGAGAAGCAAGACCGCCATGATGATCCAATCCGCGACAGATCCAAGCCTCCACGACATCACAGTAGCCGCCGCTTTCTGCCACCGAGGTTGGGGCCCAATACCTTAGCGGCACCATGGCTCCTGCCACAGTTCTAGCCACCATCCTCCTTCTCGACCTTGCAGCCAAGAGCGAAGTTCCAGCACCAGCCACTACGCCACATCACAGCCAGCGTCACCTTGCAGCCACGCTGCTCCAGCAGCCACCTCCCTCACGGCACTGCAGCTGGATCCACCTCATAGCTACACGGCCCTGTGCTTAGGATGAACTTGCCGTCGCAAGCCTATGTTGCCGAATCCGACGCATTCCACCACGATGACACCGCGGCGCATGGCGCACCAACCATCCCTAACCATCTAGGCCCCGCCACCACCTACGACCTGATCTTGGAACAAGTACATCCATTCCATCATTTGCCTTTGCGCTCGACATACGTTCCCGTGTACACCTCCAATGAAACCCTAGCCCGTGTGCAATTGGGCTCCACACAATTCTCTCATCTTGATCCACGAAGTCAAGCAGACCTCAGTCTTAGAGTTGACCAGTTGGCTCAAAGAGTGGACAACTAAAACAACTGGTTGGATAGCTCTTCAACCAGATTGACTTGGTCCAAGACCAAGGTCTTGAACTGCAAGGTGAAGAGAGAAGGATGGACGAATGCACCCACATGCAGTTCGAGAGGTCCCATGTAGGTCGAGCAGGAGCAAGAAGACAAGGAGAAGGACAAGAGCATGCTACTCAACACGTCGACATGTCACAAGCATCCACGAGCCTCGCTCAAAGTAGATCGAGTCTCTGATCGAGATTAAGTCTGAGAGTCAACGTGTACGAGAGGTTGGGCTCACGATCCGATGTTCACGCCCACCTCGGCCCGCCAAGAATCGTTCACACAAGGCTAGGCCCAAAGGAGATCAGCCTCACAATCATCCCCATAAAATATGAGAAGAAAGACTCCCACCTACTCGGTCCTAAGGAGCTAGCTCACGACGACAAGCTACGGAGGTTCCTTCACAAGCTTAGTCCGCCAACATGTCACCCAAGCAGGACAGTCGAGGAGATCTGCGCCCTAGAGACAACGAGGAGGTAAACTAACGGCTCCCGAATCATGGAGGACACCAATGTGAACCACAGGCCATGCCAGCAGAAGATGTCGAGAAGCTCGTGAATGACCGACTTCGAAACTTAAAGATCGGAGGAGATTTCGAAGATGCCTTGCGCAAGGAGGTGGACCAAGTGAAATCCTTATCATTCACGGCCAAAATCGAGTTCTTTCACACACTTCAAAGGGGATTCCAATCACAAGAGACATCTAAAGCACTTCAAAAGCATCATGATTCTCTATAAGGCTGAAGACGCGCTGATGTACAAGGTGTTTGCAATGACTTTACGAGGAGCAGCCCAGGATTGGTTCCATACCCTGTCATCCGAGTCAGTCAACAGCTTCAAGGAGCTAGCTTTCATCTTCACCAAGGAGTACACTTTTTATTGGAAGATCAAGAAGAACTCTGATCACCTATTCAACCTGCATAAGAAGCATGCTGAGTCCCTCCAAGACTACATTAAGAGATTCAAGGTAAAAAAGGCAAACATTGTGGGGTGTTGGCGAGCTGACTATCAATCCCAGCCAGACTCTGGTAGAGGTCTTCATGACCGTGGAATGCTATGCACTCCGGTACGACGATCAAATCGCCTCAAAGAAGTTTACTAAGCAAGTTGACCCATCACCCAAGGACACAGGTTAGAGAGATGATAAGCCCACACCTGTTCAACTTGCAGAAGAAGCATGATGAGTCCCTCCGAGACTACATTAAGAGATTCAAGGCAGAAAAGGAAAACATTGTGGGGTGTTGAATTTGGCAAAGGTCTTCATGATCGCGGAACGTTATGCGCTCCAGGATGACGATCGAATCACCTCAAAGAAGTTTACTAAGCAAGCTGACCCATCACCCAAGGACACAAGTTAGAGAGATGATAAGCCCAGCAATAAGAACTATGAAGAAGAGTGCAAGACACCATCCCAAGGTGGCTCATCAGCAGACAAAGGGTATACGAAGTTCACTATCCCAATACATCAAATCTTGGCCCAAGTGAATGATAAGCTTTGGCTGAGAAGACCATCACCTTTGAAAGGAGATCCCGACAAAAGAAATACCAACAAGTACTGCACCTTCCATGGAATGCATGGGCATGACACAGCCATCTGCTGATCTTGGAAGATGCACCTAGAAGAGCTTGTAAGAGAAGGCCACTGCACAGAGTTCGTGGCAAAGAAGGCCATCTAGTAGATCGAAGATCGACCTACGAATTCACCAATTACGAGTTGGGCGCTTTAACCATTCAGCCATTGATGCTTAGTGGGGATCCTCGTACATGGTGAATAAC